TTCCAAATACTATTATCAATAGGTCAACTACTTTTGATATATGGAATTACTATAAGATGTACATTTATGTCAAGCAGGTATTTTCTGACCTCGATCTAAGATCGTCTAATGTTCATTCATGGTTCTTAGCCAAAGTTAAGTTTGAATGGTTGGGTTAGTGATTTCCCGATACTATTATCAATAGGTCAACTACTTTTGATATATGGAATGACTATAAGATGTACATTTATGTCAAGCAGGTATTTTCTGACCTCGATCAAATGTTCATGCAAGGTTCTTTGGACAAAGTTAAGTTTAAATGGTTGGGCTAGTGGTTTCCCAATACTATTATATATAGGTCGACCACTTTTCATCTATGGAATGACTGTAAGGTGTACATTTATGTCAAGCAGGTATTTTCTGACCTCGATCTAATGTCCATGCATGGTTCTTTGGCCAAAGTTAAGTTTAAATGGTTGGACTAGTGGTTTCTCAATTAAGTTATCTATAGGTCAACTACTTTTGATATATGGAATTACTGTAAGGTGTACATTTATGTCAAACAGGTATTTTCTGACCTCGTTCCAATGTTCATGCATGTTTCTTTGGCCAAAGTTAAGTTTGAATGGCTGGGCTAGTAATTTTCCCAATACTATTATCAATAGGTCAACTACTTTTGATATTTGGAACGACTGTAAATAAAGGCAACAGTAGTAGTATACCGCTGTTCGAAATTCATAAATCGATAGAGAAAAAACAAATCCGGGACACAAACCAAAACCGAGGGAAACGTATCAAATATAAGAAAACTACGACACAACAGAAACACAACATTAAAATGTAACACACACAGAAACGAACTATAATATAACAATGGCCATTTTCCTGACTTGGTACAGTGCATTTTAAGAAAAAAATGGTGGGCTGAACCTGGTTTTGTGGCACCAAACCTCCCGCTTTAATGGCAATGTTAATTATAACATTAAAATGACAACATTACATGACAGGACTACAATACAAATAAATGGGAGTAAATATAGGACAGAGAAACAAACGAATAATAGACAACAAAAGGTACCAGGTTAAAAATTCAATATGCCAGACGCGCGCCACGTCCACACAAGACTTACCAGCGACGCTCAGATGAAAAAAGTTTGAAAGCCAAAACAAGTACAAAGCTGAAGACCACCGAGGACCAAAAGTTCCAAAAAGTTGTGACCAATACGGCCAGGGTGTAATGTTCATAAATGGTCCCTTGGCAAAATATAAGTTTGAATGGTTGGGCTAGTGCTTTACCAATACTATAAGCAGTTGGTAAACTACATAGTTAGGGAGCTACCATTTGATTTTAGGGGGGGGGGGGGGTCTAGCTAGGATGACAAATTTGGTCCTGCTTTTTTTAGTTGTTATCTCTGTTCTGCCTTTTTGATTTTTTACTCTATTCGGTCCTGCCTTTTTTACTTGTTTATCCTGACTTTTTTTACACAAATTGTCATCTTGACTTTTTTTTTACCAAGTTGCTCATCCTGCTTTTTTTTAACTCAAACTCCTGTTCTGCCTTTTTTTCAAAATTCATCCTTCAATTTTATTGTATGGAATGATTGTCGGATGTACATGTCCGTCTGTAACATTGCTTTTGACCTTGACCTCATTTACATTGAGTCATTGCTAATGTTTAGTGTATATGATTATAGTAGTAAAACCTTTATCTTTCAACTTGTAACATAAAATCAACCATGGTCAGTTAAGCAGGTAAAAGTTGTCAGCCTGTGCGCTCTTGTTTTACACTTTAAACATGTAGATTTAAAATTTCCTTTCATGTATATTGTTAACATTAAATCTTTCCATACAGTTTTATTTACAATTCATGTGTAACAATAAACATTCAAGTGTGTGAAAAGTTTTTTTTACTTTTTTACTGTGAGTAATATTTTTACTACATATCTGTCTGGAAGGGTTAATCTAACCTTGACATCATTTTCAAGGTTTATTGGCCAATGTCGAGTATTTTGAATGGTTGGGCTAGTGCTTTACCAATTCTATAAGCAATTGGTAAACTATATAGTTAGGTAGCTATCATTTGATTTTGTAGGGAGGTTAGCTAGGATGACATATTTTGTCCTGCTTTTTTTTTTGGTTGTAATCTCTGTTCTGCCTTTTTATTTTTTACTCTATTCGGTCCTGCCTTTTTTTAATTGTTTATCCTGACTTTTTTACCCAAATTTTCATCCTGATTTCAATCTAATTAAAATTAAATATCTCACTCGCTCATTTTTTTATGCTTGGTCGCTGCGTGGTGGCACGCAGCGACCAAGCATAAAAAAAATGAGCGAGTGAGAGATTTAATTTTAATTAGATTGATAGAACCTCGATAGAACCCCCTGATCTCCCTCTCCCAACTCAATCACTGGCTACAGTTGTATATGATATTTTATATATGATTTTACATGAGCGATATATATGTTTATATTTCTAATAACGAAGTAAGTCATAAAGGATAACAAAGATCAACAAAGGTTAGATTTTTACATTTCCGGAAATATTTACACATTGCTCGTTTCAGTTTCATTTTTAGAAAATTAACTTCCGGTAATATTAGTTTAGCACTATTGTTTTTCAAAATAGAAATTTGGCAAAACAATTAACTCAAGGAGACCTTTATATAAAACAAATAAGCATTATTCTTACGAAAGAGTCGGGGATTGTATTCAAGTGCATGCATGAGAATCTTCTATAGCAGAAAAGGGTTTCGGTAATTCATTTAAATGGTGAAGGAGGCAGAGTCTGCATGAAGCAATTTGCTGATTTTGGCTAGTACAAATAATTATGACGTCTGGCAAGGATTGTCACTAGGAAGGCGTCCCAGAAAAAAATTAAAATAGCCTTGCCAGACGTCATAATTATTTGGACTAGATTTTGGCATGCATTGATCTGATACTGCAGAGTGCAGACCCAAAATCCCCCAAAAGAACTTGGTATCAAAATTAAGAGTGTGAATAATTTCATCTTCTATCCAGATGAAATTGGTTTATAAAGTTGGTCTGTTTCTAGAAAGAAAAAAAAATTCTTGTCATCACAAAAGAGTCATTTTCCTATCCCAGTAATAGATTACCTAAGCCGTGTTTGGCACAACTTTTTGGAATTTGGGTCCTCCATATGCTCTTCAACTTTGTACTTGTTTGGCTTTATAACTATTTTGATCTGAGCGTCACTGATGAGTCTTACATGTATCTTGACGAAACGCGCGTCTGGCATATTAAATTATAATCCTGGTACCTTTGATAAGGCCAAATAAAAATATATGTGTGGTTCCAGTTACCCGACCGACCCTAGTCTAAACCGCCCGACCCTAGAACCTTTTTTTTCATTTCTAAAAAATAAATTTTCAAAACGATCAAATTTTGAGGATTGTGAATTTATATAATTAAATTCATAGATTTCTGTCATCCAGAATGCAACAAAATCAACTAAAACATGACATGACTGTTTATTTTACAACCAAACACATGTAAAAATGGCAAACTTCCAGTAGGGGCGTGTATAATACTACAATCAATTTCGGTAAACACACAATTTTTTTCCGAAATTTGGAAATCCAAAATAAAAATTAAAAAAAAATTTATTTTGGATTTCCAAATTTCGGAAAAAAATTGACATTTTATTGCCAGTCAATAATTAAAATATCCCCTTGAGCCATCGGTATAAATGAACTAATATATTTTCCCCCAAATCCAACATTTCACGAACTTTTATTCCCAATTGCATGGGCCCTGGCCAGGATATGGGCCCCTTCCCCTAAATACTAGGAAAATCACGGATTTTTTTATAAAAACTGGATTCATTATTGTTCATTGGACAACAATTTCATTGGTATATACTGCAGGTAAACCATGAAATTAACTGATCAATGAAGAAGAAATTTTAAATTGGCATTTATACAGACTTTGTCAAAACCATGAAAACAAATATCCACAAAAATGCAATTTAAGGTAGATTCATGGTATACCGCCATCTTGGATTGTACAATCCCAGTACAAAATCGGTCTAGTTATTTGCCTAAATCTGCAAATTTGGAGACAGATTTACAATTTATTGGTTAGACTGTTTATTTATGTAAATAAAAATTGGTGATTTATTGTATAACTCAAAATATTTAAACAAATATCAAATATTGTGTTTTTAGAATCAATTTTTTCAAATAACCCATTTCAGGGAAGATAACTCTTTTAGTAAAAAATATATACTGGACTGATAGGGAAATTTTTACTTGTAGCAAGAAAACAAGTTCGGTGACACCATTTTTTCTTTTTATTTTCTTAAAACATATTATAAAACCTATCTTCTCACAATTTATTTCAAAATTCTATCTCATAGATTTTTTTTTATGCACACAAATGTGTTTTTTCATGAACAATCTAACCAAATTTAGGCAATTTTCAACGACTCAAAGCTTGGAAAATAGCACAGTGACCCATACTTTTTATTATATTTTTGAAAAAAGCATAGTAAAATCTTTATTTTGGCAAAGTATAAGAAAATTCTATCTCAAGAAATATATACCTATGATCTACCTTAAGCTCAATTCACGAAAAAATTGAAATTCACGAAAATAAATGAATCCACTGTAAATGATCGATGAAAGAAAATAAAATTGCTACCAATAAACAAACATACACACATGATTTTAATGGTTCCTATCTCCTGGCAGAAAAAAACGGTAATGGCAGGTAAAAGTGTTTTATTTTATAACACTATATAACATGTACAATTCATGGAGAATTTTGGGACTTAATCATTGTAAATTGTGCTCAAACAATAGAATGTTCATAATATCTGTTAGGGTCAGCATAAAAATTAAGGGAAGGGATAGCGAGGCAGATAATATAATTATATTTTGTTCAGGCCTTATCAGGATTTTAACCAGAAATGCAAAATGTATATCTTCTATGACTTGTAATAACTCAAGACTAGATGAATCTGATTGATTTATTAAAGCTATTTTCTACATTTTTAATTGCAGATAGACACAAAAGATAGCTACAATGTAAATAATGGCTTAAAAGAACGGAATGGAGATGTTGATGTAAATGTTGACGAAGATACTGAAGATAGAGGACAATGGGGCTCCAAATGGGAGTTTATTCTGTCATGCATAAGACTTTCTGTAGGATTAGGAAATGTATGGCGTTTCCCTTACCTGGCCTATGAAAATGGAGGAGGTATTACTGTTATTCATGTTTATAGCTGTTAAAGCTTATGTTAATTAAATGATAAATAGAACTATACCATTGAATGACACATTAATGCGTGATTTAAATTAACATAGTTAAGTGAAATATATCTGAGCGCTTATTTTACAATACAAGTTGATAATCAATGATCTAGATAGTAAGATATTGCATGGCCACTAGGCTGACTAGCCCAATGTTCATTTTTACGAACAAGTTACCACAGTTGACTGAAGGTCAATCAGGGTAAATTGTCATTGTCAATTTGAAGAATCTACTCTTACCTATTAATTACAATCATTTTAACAGCTGAAATGTATGGGAAAAATTAATGAATGCAATAATAGTTTATCACTGCATGTATCTCATATACATGTAAGGACAAATTAAAGGAGTTGAATATTTTAAAGAATAAATGTACTGGCAATAGGTAAACGGACAGAAAGTCACAGGACAAAAAGTCACAGGACATAAAGTCACAAATTTGATAGGACAAAAAGTCACAGGACAAAAAGTCACAAATATTTTTTTGACAATTGTTTAAATATATTTTGAAATATTTTCTTTTTATTACATATGTTCATTTTTAAGTTGAGGAAATTACTCATAAACCTTGATAAATGAGAATTTTTTTAATTTTAATCATGCCAATGATATATTTTTGGCAAAATGAAGCCAATTTAAGTACCAAGCCACTTTGACATTTTGTTTTCATAACAATTATTTGATCATTATTGATATTTATTAAATAAATTTTAATTACAAAGTTGCTTCATATATAAAACTTCAAGAAATATAAAAAAAAATAATTTCAAAATAAGTGTTTTCTGGTTCAAAGAAAAATAATCTCAAAACTGAATTGTGACTTTTTGTCCTGTGACTTTTTGTCTGTGACTTTTTGTCCGTGACTTTTTGTCCTGTGACTTTCTGTCCTACATTCTGGCAATAACTGGTATAACAGGTTTTGTTTGACTAAATCATTTAAGTTGATTGGTTTTTATGGCGTTGTTTTTTAAAAGACAATCATGTTTTACCCAAATATTTAAAATCTGATCGATCTTTACTGCTTCTTAACTGGCTGTATATTTGTACATTGTATAATTATGACTCACTGAAAGAAATCTTTGGAAATGATTTGTAAATTGAAATGTAGACAACTTAATGACATGTCTTTCAAGTACATGTGTTACCAATGTGAAAACTGATTGAATTTAAACATGTATTAAAATTATTTCATATGTTATAATGTAAAGATTAATTTTAGTCTGAAATTTAGCATAATATTAAATGATTTGACAAGAAAACAGTAAGAACATGTAGACTAGATGCATGTATGTAAATTATGGTTAACACCTTCACACTGCAGGTTTTTCATTAAATTTCTAGCTTGTAATAGATACATAGACAGAATCAAGTTATTCTAACCAAAAGTCTGACTCAAAAGTTTTTATTGTTCTGAATTAGTAAATTGCAAATTTACATTGTCTGACATAACTCTTTTTAACCCTTTCACAAAGCCAAAATTTAAAGAAGAAAAGATTTACTGTTAGTCTGCAGAGATGGGTCCGATTACTTTCAATGTAATTGATTTAATTACAATTACTTTGTCATTTGTACGATTAAATTAAATTAATGATTACATCATTTCTGAAAGTGTCTGATTAAATTAATGATTACATCATTTCTGAAAGTGTCTGATTAAATTAATGATTTCATTGGCAAAGTAATCATGATTACATCTGATTACAATGAATTTAAAAAAAAAAAAACATTTTGAATGATGTGAATGAATTACCGTTTAATATATCAAGAGCATTTTAGAAAGGATTTTGTTTGATATATTATAAAATGATAACTTCAAACTTCATCTATTTAATAAACCACAAAAGTTCACTACATACATACATGAACATTGTGTCACTGGTTATGACCCATTACACTTTATCATCATTGATCTCTGAATTATTTTGACTTCAATTGAATATAGCTTTATAAAGAGTTTGCTGTTTACCTTCTGACCTCTTCCAGACTTTATATGTATTTCAAGGTGCTGTTTATGGAAGTTAAAATATGGATGAAATAAAGTTGCCAGATAAAAACTATGTAAAATGTTAATAGAATTGTTAAATCAAGTTGTAAACATAAACAAGTACTAAAATCATTGAATTTTACATGTCCAGTCCAAATACATACAAAAATTTGCTTGTTTGAAACAAAATATTTGTCCAACTTTTAATTTAGTTTGTGCTAATGAGATAAATTTCCACCATGTCCACATGTCTGATTAATCTCTTATCATATATATTGTCCTATAGCTATACTCAATTGGTAATTGCAATTAAAAAAAACCTTAATTGGTTTCCTACCTGTCAATTCAAAGTTGACAAATATCACAATATTAACAAAAGATTATAATTCAGGGTTAAAGAAAAGTATACTTAAATATAACAGTTATTATCAAATATATATATGTACATCTTTAAATTGTGAATATATGTACAATATCTTTTACTAAGGCCAGAGACATATAATTGTATTAAATATCTGTTCTTAGGCTTATGATGACTTTTCAATACTGTAACAGTTTATTTTTTACTGAAGTATAATAATCAATTAACATGATTTATAAACATGATAAAGTAAACCAAACTATTTAAACGTATTAAATATTTATTAAATAAGAATAACAAAAAGGTTCATTTATTGACCATAAACACAGTTTAAGATTTTTTTCATTGTAATCAGAATGTAATCAAAAAGTAATCAGGATTACAGGGTATTTTGAAAAGTAATTGATTAAATTAAATTACATGTAATCAGATTTTTGGCTAATTAATGATTACAATGATTACTTGAAAAATTGTAATCAATTACAGCTGATTAACAATTACCCCAAGTCTGTTAGTCTGTAAGGAAACTAAACATGTTAAATGATTAAAGTGTCATAAGCTGCCAGATTCATGCTAAAAAAATAGAAATTTATACTCTAAAATTTTTATTTATTAAGTATTTTAAGTTTTTTCTATAGGCAACAATGCATAATGCATGGAATCATTATAAAGTATCAGCATCTCCTGTTTATCATGGTATTGTATGCCATTCACATATTAAATGTCTAATTAACCATCATCACAAGTCGCATCACACCTAAATATTTCTAATGAGAATGTGACACAAATATAAATAGAGACAAGTTCTAGTTTTGGATTTCATATCATAGATAAAACTATATTGTAAATTGTTTTATTGTTTTATAAGTAAAAAGATTTTGGTGGAAGAATTCAATCAGTCAATGAAAAAATCTTCCAACTGCTTTAACTGTTGCAGATGACAATCTTTTCAATATTTGATCTCTGCACAAACGGTCCACAACTGTGGCAGCAGGGTCCACAACTGTGGCAGCAGGGTCCACAACTGTGGCAGCAGGGTCCACAACTGTTGCAGCAAGGGTCCACAACTGTGGCAGCAAGATGGGTTACTTGCATACAAATTTTCAGTCCAATAAACCAACAAACAATCATATATCTTAATATTTGAGAATTTTATTCATATTATTTTTCTTAATTTCAGCTGCCTTCCTGATTGCTTATTTAGTCCTACAGTTCCTGATAGGAAAGCCCATGTACTTCATGGAGTAAGTAATGGGTCAATTCTCTGGTTTAGGACCAACAGGGGTTTGGAAAATGAACCCAAGTGCTAAAGGTAATAGTGTTTTTGTAGTAGTATTTGTTAACTGATATTTCATGGTTTGAAGAAAAAAATCATTGGTTTATTATTTGTTTAATTTATAATTAGTGTTTCAATCTTTGAAGTTTGAGATAATGATGGAGAGACATTTTTCAGATATGTGATGTTTGAAAGAAATAAAAATAGGGTTTTAATCCACCTACAAAAAACGTTTCATTGTGGAATTTGGCAACCTAGAATTATTTTTTTTTATTTTGATCTTATTTTGCCTAATGGTCCGAGTACACAGTTATTTCGTAGTGCATTTCTTTTAGACAATAAATGAAAATTAAAAAAATCCCACCTGCGCTTTCTCAATAATATTTTTACAGTGTGTTGTACTACTTTTGGGACAAATTATATCAAAATTATAGAAAACTTCATCGGCTCTAACTCAAAATATGGACAATTTTATGTTAAGGGGGTCTTCAAATCTTTTGACAGCTTCTGAAGTGCTAATTTTTAACATTTTTCAGCTGGACCAAATCACTACTTTACTTTAAAATTCATGACCCAAATTTTTTTACAGTGTCATTTCACCCCCCTACTTGCTATTTGAGTCATAAAACATGGAGAAATAAATTTGGAAGGGGTAAAAAAAATTGGCAAGTAACACACTGTCCACACTAGGGACTATATTCGTGGACAACGAAAAATCAAAGGACGATAACTGTGTACTCGGACCTAATGGTATTAAACACTTATATTGTTTTTCCACATCTGATGAGAAAAGTTTGCTGGTACATGTAATATTGAAGTATATCTGAAATACATTTACAATTTTCATTTGTAAATGTGAGAAAACTATAGGTGTAGAATTTTATACAAAATAATTTTATGCAGGTTTAATGTATTGTAAATGATGAATTTTGTACAAAGATTTATTACATAATACAAAATATTTTCAATTTCTTCATGTTATAAAATAATTTATTTCGTATTAAATATAAATAACACAAATGTATTAACTTTGCAGGTATTGGTATATCTATGGCTCTAATATCGTTAGTAGTCGCAATCTACTATAACGTGATCATGGCCTACATGTATACACTAAATATAAATCTTATACAAATGTATTAACTTTGCAGGTATTGGTATATCTATGGCTCTAATATCCTTAGTAGTTGCAATCTACTATAATGTGATCATGGCCTATACACGGATCTACTTCTTCTCCTCCATGCAGAAAACTGTACCTTGGACTGTTTGTGAAGATGTAAGTATGGTCTAGACTAGTGATTTGGAACAATTTCAAGATGGACATTATAAAATGAGGAAACAGTTATTATTCAAAATTTTGCTCAATTTTCCATATACTGTGGATTCATTATTATTCGTTGGATACCAATTTTCGTGGGTTTTGTGGGTACAGGTGAACCACGAATATAAATGTACAACGAATTACACATTTTCTATAGGCTTTGCAAAATCACGAAATCAAATATCAACAAAAATGCAAGTTTTCCTCAATCCACCCTAATTGATACCCAAGAAAATAAATGAATCCACAGATTGAAATGAATTGTGGTATGATGATTGCCAATGAGACATAAAAGCTTTTTTCTCATTATGGGAATTTTCGAGAAGTAACTAAACTTGACTAAAATTCAGTTAGTTTCAAGTATATGCACTCGAGTCTCATAAAACATAATGGCCTTTTTCTGAACATTTGACTAAAATGAATGCCTGAAGCTGACCTAAAGCTGCCATTTTGAGCATTTATACAAAACACTGCTTACTAGGGACATACTAATCAATTCATTTTGATTATTGATGGTATGAAAAATATTACAACATGTGAATTTGCAATATTGTGTAACTGTATATAGCATATAGCAGGCATGTTTTGCACTAAAATGTCAAAACCTTATTTAGTTATTTTTTCTAAGATATATTTAAAAAAACTGTTCAGATCCCATTGCCACAACCATATATGTTCTAAACTGCCATGATAAGTCCACCATAAATTTTGACAGGGATTGTTAAACCACTTGGCTCAAAGAGTTTCAGCCAAGTACTCATATAAAAATAAGTAGATGAAGTATGATTGCCAATGAGACAACTATCCACCATATAAATAAGTATAATGTGGATATATGCAATTAAAGGTCACCCGACAGTCTTAAAAAATGAGAAAAAAATACTTTATAGTCGACTATGAAATCACCATGAAATATTTTATAAAACAATTAAATGAGAAATAAAACCGGGTTTATAGATATCAATTCATATACATTGGTGTCTTCTTCTAAATAAAAGTTATTCATGTAATATTTGCCACTGGATGTTTAATTATTATCACAATTGTCTTTTAATATATAGCCATTCTTGTAACAAGACCTAGATGTAGTTAACCTTCCAATGTTTGTATTGTAGGAATGGTTACCATTAGGATGTGTGGAGCAGACGACACAGAGATTAGACTATTGCTCTATGAACATTACACAATTATTGACTGATAACAAAGCGTGTAGATGTTTTTTGAACGGTACAGATTCTATATTGTCTGACCAGGGATTTAACGGTACTAATGTCACATACCAAGGAGATGTCCCAGTACCTGTAGCACAGCTGTATTTTGAGTAGGTAATAGTAATCAAGGTCATAAATTTTATGGAAGGATGTTTGTTAAGTTTATAAATTTTACAGTAGTATATATAAAATCTGCTTTTTAAAAATGAAATCAGGTTAAAAAATTGACACGTCTTTCAACCTGAAACTTTATTTTTGTAAAGAAAGATATAATTATATACTTTGGATTCTTTAATTTTCGTGGGTACCAATAGTCCATTTGCCAATTACCGATTTGATTCTGTTATTACACACTTTTTAAACAAATTACTTCCCTTTGTCAATCGTCGACTGGTTCCATACCGGACAAAATTGGCATTTACCAATGCAAAGCATGATGAATTGAAAGTGATGTATCCTCGGTTTAACTAATTTTTCATTAAAAAAAATTTCTAATGTCAAAAGTATTTAGCTGAACAACAAATTAATGTAATCATAAGATTTAAAAACCTTAAAGATTACTCACATTACGCACAGGTAAATTTGCTCTTTCTGCTGGCTCTCCATTGTAAATAAAAGTTAATGTACCTCATAAGGGAGACAACTAAAAAAGGAATCTTTAATTACAGGGTCAATTACGGGAATTGGCAAGTAGCCTATTTACGTGGGTATTTTATTTCATGATTTTACCAATGTCTGTGTTCAAGGCAATAGAACATTTGTACATGTAATCGTTAAGCATTTAATTTCCTGGTTCACCTATTCCAACAAAACCCAGAAAATTAATATCTAACAAATAAAAAGGAATCTACAGTAACAGTTGTCTTTTGTACAACTACAACAATCCAAATAGTTTAAATATGAAATGGATGTTATCTGTAAGATTAATACCACCCCTATTCTAAGAACAATTTCTTTTTCAGTAAAACTGTAATAAACAAGGCTGATGATTTCTACCCAGACACAGGAAATCCACAATGGAAGTTAGCACTCTGTCTGCTGTTGTCGTGGATTGTTGTTGTTCTCTGTTTAGTAAGGGGAATTAAGTCATCTGGAGAAGTAAGTTTTATGATATATATGTATGCAAGTCAATGTCTAATAATATAGAGCACATTCATTTATATTTTGTGTGTTTAAGACAATATAATTTGATAGAGCACCTTTGAAATGGAAATGTGTGTGATCTTATTTATATTTGTTTGATTAACCATAATTTGCCTTGCAAATTTATACATCATATGTTTTGAAATGAATAGATTTTTAATCGGCAGTGATTTGCTCATTCCTAAGCTAACAAGATTTGTTTATTTTTGCCAGACAAACTATGTTTTACTTTACCAAGACAGATTGAGTAATTGTTCTGTTATTACCATTGATACTGTCAATATAGCCTTTGAAATTGTTACATTTGGAGATAAAAGTTCTGTTAGAAGCTATTGACGCATTTTTAAAGTTTGTGCAGGATGCCATTAAGTCCATTTTACAAATATTCAATTTGGATGCATTCCGTAAAGGGGGATTGTTTTCGATGAACTTAGGTGGCTTTTGATATAACTTAGCATTTTAATATATGAATTTATTTGTAGGTTTTCAACCCATAAATCTTTTTTTATTTTTTGCTGGACTGGAACTTTTACTTCTTATCTTTTCAGGTTGTATATTTCACAGCCACATTCCCATATGTTATCTTGTTGATTTTGTTGATCCGAGGAGCTACACTAGATGGTGCTATTGATAGAGTAAAATATTTTTTGATACCTGAATGGTCCAAACTAGCAGATCTAAAGGTATATATATATGAGTCATGATTGTAAGATATACTTACAGAAATAGTGGTCATTATCATCATAGACAATTGTACTGAATTTTGTTTTAAATTCAATTCCCTGTGTTTGTCAATTAATTATAGTGTTTTTTTTTATACCATGGGTACCTAAAATTTGAGAAGTCCTATATTTGATTTGTAACTCTTTCAAGTTGGTACCTAACACTACAGGGAGATAACTCTGTAAAAATCAGCTGAGTGTTTTAATAATGTTGTATTATGTTAAGGAAATATTAGCTTCTCAATGATCAGAATTAGTGTTTGTCTAACTGCTATATATCCAATGAAATTTTTTAATCAAGGTGTTTGGTACCACCTTAAGATTAATTTGTAAATATTTTTAAATTAAAATTCACTTCTAGGCTGGGGAAATTTGTATTTCAGCTTGTGAGTTTCAATGATACCTTATGAGGGGAAACTAAGGAGTTTGATATTCCTGACTGCAGACTATTTACTATGAGATATATTGTTAAAAGTTCCTTTACCCATATCTGTCTAGTACCACAATATGTTTTAGGGCCTTCCATTGCTTTAATAGCCCTGAAAAAATTATAAAGAAAAAAGTTTTACTTTAATTTGAAGGACATATTTATTTTATCTTTAAAATTATGTATTACAACATATATATGTAAGACTCAGATCGACGTCAGTTCCTCAAATCGACGTCCAAAGCTGACGTCACAATAAAATAAGATTCCAAATCGGCGGAAATTATATCCCCCTCTAACCGAGGTCCAATGTTTGGCTCCTCTAATCGACGTCCAAATTTAAACTTCTCTAATCGCTGTCCGTTTTAATGGACCTATGGAAAGATGCAAACGCTGAGACATTTTTGGCCAACATGCCGTATTATACGGAAATAAATCTAAAACAAATGAACAAAACTGCGGAAATGGGGACAAGCAAAGTTTATAACAGAACTGAAACGTGGATTGTCCGAGAAGAATAAATATAAAAAAAGTAGTAAAGACAGTTCTAGGTCAATATTTTTACAACCAAAACATAGGTTATGTGACAAATAAAATATATTTAAAATTCTTTTTTTTTAAATGTATTACCAATGTTTACAGGTTGTGATATCAATTTTTATGTAATTTAAGAGCTTATTAAAAACAATGAGATGTGGTGAGATTGCTAATCGGACAACTATACACCAGAGTTCAAATGAAGTGAATGTAAGCAATTATATAGCCCTTTACCTTTATAGCTTGCTGTTCGGTGTGAGCCAAGGCTGCGTGTTTAAGACTGTATTTTGACCTATAATGTTTTTTGTTTATAAACTGGGACTTGGATGGAGAGTTGTCTTTTTGGCACTCATACCACATCTTCTTATATCTATACCGTACGTCCTTCAACAATGAATCATGGAATGATAAAGTCTGCAATTAAAGGTCACGACATGAAACATATAAAACAATTATTATAGAACTAAAAACTAAACTATAACAAAAAAAATTCTGAACAACAAATATGCAAGACATAAACCAACGACAACCACTAGACTACAGGCACATAAAATATTTGGAACATGTTTGTGAGCGCTTAAGCCTCCCCTAACCTGAAACAGTGGTGTAATAGCACAACATAAAAACATAATGCCAATTTATTTTGTATATTTTTCACTCCAGGTGTAAAACAAATGAATTTGTTGAAAAAATTCTTACATAGTCCAAATTATAATACTCTTACAGTTGACATTTACTTCTTTATTTTGTCCATTGTTGAAGACTGAGTGTTGCCCTATATATATGTCGTTTTGTTTTCTTTGTCGTTGGGTTCTTATTTAAGTATACGCATATGCCATTTATTAATTTGCATGTACATGTATAAGTGTAAGTGCAGCAATTTCTTTTTTTATTATTCATTGATATTGAACATCGATAAGAGAAGACTACAATAAATCGGACATCGTTTTGGCAATACATGACGGCACATTGGACGTCGATTAGAGGATCAAACATTTGGACGTCGATTTGAGAATGTGACGTCCGAATTGGACGTCAATTTGAGGAAAGGACGTCGATTAGAGACCGAACGTCGATCTGAGTCTAACATATATATAATTTATTTATTATAGGTATATGTTGCTGCAGCAGGACAGATGTTTTTCTCTCTCAGTGTATCGTTTGGTGGAATTATAATGTTTGGAAGTTACAACAAATTCAGCAACAATGTATATGGGTAAGATTAATTTTCCTTGACAGAAAATTTAAGTCTTTATTTATATTTATATGATCAAATATGATGGGATGTAATGTAATTAACATGGTCAGTTATTTTTTGGTAATTATTTTTATTATAGTTAATTATTACCTTCTGTCTGTCCAACTTTGTTTCTGCACTCTTAACTCTAAAGCTTGGCTCATCCAATTTTAATGAAACTCATACACAGTGCTACAAACTAATGAAATTCATATGCTTACAGACAGTTTGAATTTGGGTAGTGATTCATTTACCGTTCTAGAAATAGATCCCTTTTAACTCGAAAATTGCAAAGCTTGAGCATGGCATTTGTGTGACAAATTCTTTTATTTCTAGCTTCATCTGTAGGGCCTTTATAGTATGTTTTAATAGTCATGTTTTATTATTTAAACACTGGTTTATATTTATAGTGATGCCTTGTTAATCGCTGTAATGGATCTGGTTACCAGTATAATAGCAGGTTTTGTCATCTTTACAACATTTGGAGGATTAGCTAAGAAAACAGGACTTCAAGTCTCAGAAGTTGCAAGGGGAGGTAAGCAAGGATGTTTTCCATTTTTAATCAAACGTTGAAGAAATAGTTTGCCATAAATTACTTTGTAAGTTTCTTGTAGCATGCCTTGGGTCTTAATTTGTAAAGCTATTTTAAAATTTAAATTCTAATATGACAACCTGTTATCGTCAACCAGTATAATCATAGTATATCTACTTTTAGCGCAAGCACATAACTACATAAAACTAGCTGTTCCGTGTTACGCCCAACTTAATTATACTACCATGCAGGTATTCTCAAATTTTGACATTAAAACCCACAGATTATAGTCCAAGATTCAGATACCATTAGTTATATCTATTCTAAAGCAAAATAAACATATCAGTCCATTTCAATTTATTTTTTTCGTGCTGAAATTTCATCAAAGGAAAATTTCATGAAATATTATCGTCTTTGCATGGCAATGAAACAAGGTGACATCATATGTATGTTTTCGTAATCAAAAAATCAAATGTAAACACTCAGTGTTTTAAAGCTTCTATACATCTCAGAATGCAATAAAATTACATTAGAAGAACATATGTAGGTGAAAAATACGATTTAAATTTTTTTGTTTTATTAAATTATATAATATTATCATATGGGGGTAAAATGGAACAGCCAAAACAGTATCTTGCGTATAGGGCTACCACAGTTAACAAAATTACTGAATTTGTCCCATTAGAATCCAAATAATTCATGGCAGCCACAAATCTACAGCTACCATTTTCTTTTAAGATTTTAATCAAAGATGATATTTGATATTGAATTTGATACCACTGAGACTATCACAACAATTCAGAAATGATCCTCTGTTCAGAATCTGTTAAAACAAACAAAAAAAATCTCTAGTAGAAAATACAATTCATTAATTATATTTTTTTCTGTTACAGGTTATGGATTTGCCTTTGTAGCCTACCCTGAGGCATTGTCTAACCTACCTCTACCTCAATTATGGTCTGTTTTGTTTTTCTTCATGTTGTTTACACTTGGACTTGACAGTGAGGTAAGACAGATAGTTGTACATTTTATTTAAAGGAAAAGGATTATCTCCCCTTTGCACCTATAAATCGTGTTTAATGGTAATATAAACTACAGGAGTTCTTTTCTAATAAATTTTGTAAAAGACCAGGACTTTTTTCTAATTTTTGACTGGAAATAACCCATCTATTACATTAGTATGATAATTTCGTCTTATACTCTTAACAAAACTTGAATATTATTCCCAACATTTTTTTTTTAATTTGTGCAATGATAATAATACTGTGGATTCTTTTATTTTTTATGGATTTAGGAATAATTATATTGTTGTGGACTATTTCTATGCAAACCTATAGGCAAGTTTTATTTTATAAAGCATTGGTTCCCTATGAAATACCAACAAGTCCAGTTTGTAAGATAGTCATAGATTAGTATGAAACAGAATCAACTGTTACAGCCGATTCCATTGAGTATGTAGGCAAAGGTAATATCTTTGGTTAGCTTGCTTGCTAGCTGAACCATGAAGTCATTATAAGGTAAGGTATACTACCCTCCTTTCAAAGTAGCTTAGTCCTACAGACAGATAATCTATCAGACTAGTCTACTCTTAAAAGGAGGATAGTTTACCTAACCTAGTCTTCACGGTTCAGCTAGCAAGCAAGCTAACCAATACTTTTACCTTTGCTTTCACACCCATTGAAATCGGCTGTAATTCTTTGAGTTTTGTGATATGTAATGCCTATTTTTATTTTGCAGTTTGCTTTATTGGAGACAGTTTTGACATGTATACAGGATGAGTTCCCAAAACTTAGAAAATATAAGAGTCACATGGGTATTGGATTGGGAGTGATATGTTTCTTTATGGCTTTACCATGTATAACACCAGTAAGTATAAAAGTCATATGTGTATTGTTGAATTGTGTGTTTCTTGGCTTTGAGGTGTGTTATGCAAGTGAGTATTATAGTCGTGCTCATATGTATGTTTTGGTGCACATGGTGGGTTTCTTCTTGGCCTTGACATGTTACACCAGTAGCTTTAAAGTCTCATGTGTATTTTATTCTTCTTGAACAGTAATAATTTTATTTTCTGCTCTTTAACAAAATGTCTATTTTATCTAAATTGATATTAAATGTATCATTGAAAATTCTAAAAAAAATAGTTACAATATAAGGGAAATAACTCTGGTACTTTTTTATTTATACTATACAAAACAGAATCTACTTTTATAAGCAATTGTGAATAAAATAATGTAAAGAAGATTTAAACAAATTGTAACGAAATTGATATGGTTTTGAAGGACAATGCAAGATGTTTTTTACTGTGGCAAAGGGTAGAGGAGTACAAAATGTTTCTTGATAAAATTTAAAAAGATACAGAGAACACCAAAATGACAATCACTATTTTAGTTTAATAAGAATACTTAAATGGCTAAGAGTGCATAGTATGAGGTAAAATAACAAAGAATTTGACAAAGAATAAAGTCTTTATTATATTTTTATATAGTTGTTAAAATATATAGAAGTATTTGTGCAGAGTTTTAGATATTAAGATATTGTTTAGTTCCAAAATTGGAGACTAATGCAAATTGACTTGAGATTATCTCTAAAGAAATTACCGTAGTCTAATTAGATGAAGTGGTTTGCATGCATTGAACTCCGTCTTGTTTGTAAATGATGTTTTATTATTTTTACAGACAGGAGATTATATAGTAGGATTGATGGAGAGTTATGGCGCTGATTTCTCTGTATTGTGTGTAGCCACATGTGAATGTGTATCCGTACTATGGGTTTATGGTGAGTGATTTCTCTGTATTGTGTGTAGCCATTTGTGAAAGTGTATCTGTACTATGGGTTTATGGTGAGTGATTTCTCTGTATTGTGTGTAGCCACATGTGAAAGTGTATCCGTACTATGGGTTTATGGTGAGTGATTTCTCTGTATTGTGTTTAGCGACATGTGACTGTGTATCCGTACTATGGGTTTATGGTGAGTGATTTCTCTGTATTGTGTGAAGCCACATGTGAAAGTGTATCTGTACTATGGGTTTATGGTGAGTGATTTCTCTGTATTGTGTGTAGCGACATGTGACTGTGTATCCGTACTATGGGTTTATGGTAAGTCAGTCGTATTTTCTTTGAACAAGGAAGTTAAAAGGGTTTTAAATGAAGATGAACATCATGTTTCTTTATGAACATATGAATGAACCATAAACTTTAAATCAACAGAAATATTCATGGCCAAATGAATTTAAGATGATTGTTTTTTTTTAACAATTTTCATGATTTATCATAAATCAAGCAGCTAAACATGAAGATCAAGAAATAAGATTTGGTATGAGTGCCAATGAGACAACTCCCCATCCAAGTCACAATTTGTAAACCATTATAGGCCAAAGTACAGCCTTCAGCACAGAGTCTTGGCTCACACCGAACAGCAAGCTATACATGAGCAGTGCAAAACCATTCAGACATGATTGTCTAGTCGAAGTAGGAATGTTCAGTCCATGGCACAATTTAGAGAATGCCATGCTGTTACACGACAACACACTTGATGTATACAAAGCTATCCGGTTCTAACTCAAAAATTCTTCCCTAACGTATATTATTTGTTTTAAAATTTCAGTTTGAGTTATCTGCCCTTTATTCTTATCAACCAACTTTTTCATCAGATACTTTAAATTAATTATTATTCATACCAAAAAAAATTGTTCTTTTTACTTTTTTTCACAGGAGTGACAAGATTTATAAAAGATATTGAATTTATGTTGGGTAAAACCCCAGCACCAACAACATATTGGTTGTTTTGTTGGGTGTTAGCTTCACCACTTCTTATTGGGGTAAGTAATATACTGTTCAGAAATTATTGCAAGGACTGGGTGCGATTGCAATAATTACATGCATTATGACACCTGATGCATATATATTTATGCAGATTAGACTTAATTACAATAAATTTCAAATTTTTATCCACTTTTAAAAAATCGCAATAATAAATGCATGCAAAAATTTATGAATATACAGAATTTCAGGTTTAATCATCTTTACTCTATGTATAAAACTTTTAGGTATTTTTAAAATAATCTGTATATCAGGAAATATAAAAAAGATGGGGTATGATTGCCAATGAGACAACTCTTCACAAGAGACAAAAATGACACAGAAATTAACAACTATAAGTCACTGTACGACCTTCAACAATGAGCAAAGCCCATACTGCATAGTCAGCTATAAAAAGCCCCGAAAATAATGTAAAACAATTTAAAAATGTTGTTATGAGTATTTGAAATATACTCTTCTTAACATTTTTATACTTCCTATTTAATTGTATTGTGCATAGCTATAGGTAGTGCACAACAGAGATCAAAATGCTCAATTGTCCAAGGGCCTATATTGTGATAAAAATCAGCACAAAATTCCACAACATGCTGTGAACAGTACAAAATACCACAACAACCAACAACATCCCACTTCTCTGGAAAAAAAGAAAGGTTCAAGCAAAAGTAAACAAAAACATATAGTTAACTATTACTAAATTAAACACCATGCATCTAGGAATAAAAGAAAAAAGGAGGTCTTATATAGTGTAAAATAATATTTTAAGACTATTCTATATTTCATTCATTACTTGTTTTCACTGCTCATACTGAATAAATTTTACAGATTTTTGACAATTTATGTTGTTGGGAAAAGCTACATGGTCTGTTTGTATACTATGAGATTGACTATGTACCTAAATTAAAGTAATATTTTAACCATTACTTATGTATCATGTTGACTTTACATTACAGGGTCTGTTTGCATACCGTCTAATCAAGTATGTACCACCTAAAGTAAAAGATGGAGTATTTTTCCCAGAATTTGCCCAGATTATTGGATGGTGTGTATCTGCCATAGTGTTATGTCCTATACCTTTGTACTTTGTTTATAAATTCATCATCACTCCTGGGAAAGTCACTGATGTGAGTATACACTGAAATATTCAATTATTTAATTAATTGTTTTTTGGCAGTGTTGCTTTATAAATATCACAATGTTGGATTTAAAAATTAAGAATTTTATTCAATGAAACATTGGGTACATGTGCTAAAGATTGCAATTGAATTTGCAAGGTAACTAAGTTGTATTTTGAAACAGGACAGAGACAGAGACCAAAAAGGTCTTCTTTGTGAGAGTTGCTCACTGTGAAATGCATTATTGTTTTCAAAGAATTTTTGGTTAAACTATCCATACAAAACTCATGAAAATTAGTACTCCATGAATTATAATTGATTCACAGTAATCTACATTTTTGATAACCACTGTAGATAACATTGCACCAAACATCAACTTAACCACATATTATTGCACCAAACATCAACTTGACCACATATTATTGCACCAAACATCAACTTGACCACATATTATTGCACCAAACATCAACTGGACCACATATTATTGCACCAAACATCATTTTAACCACATATTATTGCACCCCGAACGTCAACTTGACCACATATTATTGCACCAAACGTCAACTTAACCACATATTATTGCACCCCAAACGTCAACTTAACCACATATTATTGCACCCCAAACATCAACTTAAACACATATAATTGCACCAAACGTCAACTTGACCACATATTATTGCACCAAACGTCAACTTAACCACATATTATTGCACCAAACGTCAACTTAACCACATAATGTTGCACCAAACGTCAACTTGACCACATATTATTGCACCAAACAAATGTCAACTGGACCACATAATATTGCACCAAACAAACATCAACTTTACCACATATTGCACTAAACGTCAACTTAACCACATATTGCACCAAACGTCAACTTAACCACATATTATTGCACCAAATGTCAACTTAACCACATATTATTGCACCAAACGTCAACTTAACCACATATTGCACCAAACGTCAACTTAACCACATATTATTGCACCAAACGTCAACTTAACCACATATTATTGCATCAAACATCAACTTAACCACATATTATTTATATTTACAGAGACTTATAATAGTAACAACGCCAACAGCTGACTGGGGACCTAATACCAAGGAAAAATTATACAATGCTGACTCACAGTTAACAGACATTGGAAAGGCAGCTTACGCTTATGACAATCCAGCTTCACAATTATAAACTATAGCAATATTAGAATCATAAAGATTGTTTCTCTTTGAAGTATATTTAAAAATGAATTTATCACACATAGTTTCAGGGTACTTGTATAACAAAGAAATGCAGAGCTATTTTTAATTTTTACTCAATAGTGGAGAATTTTGTGAATATGACAGAAAACCATCACAAATATATTGTAAATAGGTTTTCTCCCTGACTTTTTTCAGTATTTTAATCAATTCCAACATAATTTTAGTGCTTAATTTTGAAGTGTACATAGTTTTACATCTTTTTACTATATAAATGCAAGATTTATAAAATGTTTTTAAAGTGAATTTATGGATTCAGTTTGAAAAATTACATTTCTTTGATTCTCTATGACATTATTTTTTAACTTAAAACTCCTTCATTTTTTATAAGTGATTTTTTTAAAAGGGATGAATTGAGAAATTTTATGATTTTAAATTTTGTTTTGGTTAAAGACTGCTTTTTTTTAATATTAAAGATAGAATTGTTATAAAACTAAATACAAAAATCTGCCTTTCTGAAAGTAGAATGAAGTTATAAAGTAAAATAATGTTTTTGCTAATATTTCAAATGTTGCATACAATAGATACCTCATTTGTGTTATTTATTTTTAGGAACCAATTCATTGAAATGTTGTAATTAAAGAGTTGTCTTCTCTTGATTGTACTGCATTTTCAATACAGAATAAACTGTGTGTTCAATGCAGGTTAACTTTGCATCTCAAACTTTAGTTACACAAATTATTAATCATCCAGATTTACCTTAATTGAGAAATTTTAAATTTTGGAAGCAACGAAACAATATTTTCTTTTTTAGTTTGAATCATCAAAAAGATTTTTTTACAAAATCAATGAAATTTATACCAGAAACAAGGGAGTATTTAATAATCATGTCTGCATTAGTTTGATATAAAGATGTTCACACTTTCATGACATTCCTTTAAATTATGACTTTTTATATGTGTATAATTTCCCTTCTACAATTTTATAGTTGTTAAACATATCAAACAAGATTTTTTTACAAATTATATATATCTACATTTGTACATATCATGTATATCATTTCATAACGAGGAAAGATCTATGTTTTGCTGATTAATACATATTAGGTCTGAATCTGTCTAGTTTTATTATATAGATTGGGCAACGGATTCGTGTGGTAATTTTCTTGTATCCGTGTTTCCAAATATTACATTAACTATTAAAAGTAGATTGAAACTAAAATTCATATTAGTCTATATATATAACTTGGTTTGGTATGACTTTACATGTTACAAAATCATTCTTTTACTGAAAAGATAACCGTCCATAGTAATTACACTAAACAAGTAACTTAAAAAAGATGTAACAAAGCAGAATTTAATTGATAAAGTATTTTATTTTTTACTTGAGACAGAAATTGTTGTATTTTTTAAACAGAAATATTTTTAAGATAGTTTCCGTATTTTTATTATCATCGACATGTGATTTGTTGGTGATATTTTATTGTTATTGATATTGTTGAAATCCATGAATCGATTGTTTGTACAGTTATCTCATTAAAAATAAATAGATACAAACATTTGTACATTTTTTGTTTGAGTTTGCTGTTTCATAGATATATACACCCATTATCTCTATTCAATTGTATACAAACTAGATGTAATTATTGTCCTTTAAGTATCGCCTGCATCTGATTTGGTAGAATGTCGGACATAAGATGCTTAAAGGTTTGAAATTTCCATGTGGCATAGATAGTTTTACATCATTATCATAAAACAATACCTGCATAAAAATGACAATTTTTTTAATTTTGTAATTTTTCAAATTATTAGAACATATTAACTTTATTTGGAGTATAGAATCATTGCGATGTATAAATTGGACATGATTTTAACCTCGCCTGGCCAAAAGGCCTTGTGAGCCTTCAATGCCACCACTTTGCCTCCATTGTCTGACCATTAGGTTATTGTTTGTTGTCTTTGAAATTTTGTTTAAAACCTAATGCCTGACACTAGTATGTGGATTGAAGTAAAGTTTTCTGCTTCATTTATAGGATGGCTTTGAAGTTTTTAGACTCATCAACAAACATGGCCAATATGGCTTAAAATAGAATATAATGGTGAAACTGAAATATAGATAACTAGAGCAAGGAGAGAAAAAATTAACAAGGTAAAACTGTTCATTACACAAACTGTTCAAACCTGGATATATTAGAAAAACATGTTGATTTGTTTGGAATTATTGCCCCTGAAATTAACTTGGGGGGGGGGGGGGGGGGGAAACAAGACAAGGGCATGCTGTTTCCAGAGTTGGCGGGAGCAGTGGCATCAACAATGTTATTTTTGTGATTAGCTTACTTGATGAAGAACCTGCGTTATAGGTATGAACTATGGCACATCTCATTTCCATGGAGGTACTTTGGCCACATTCCCCTCAGTGAGTCTTTAGGTTTGCACTCCGTCTGTCTGTCCATCTGTCAGTCCACAAATCAATTTCCCACACTTTTTTTTCTTTGTGCTTGAAGATATTGGTTAAGTCCATATATCAGATACTATAAGCAGTAGGTTTACTATATTTGGTATATGGAATGATTGTAAGGTGTACACGACTAACTGGTAAGGGTCATCCGACCTTGAACTCATTTTCATGGTTCAGTGGTCAAAGTTCAGTTTTTGAGTTTTGGTCAACTATATTTGTTGTAAAGAAATATTTTATGATGTACATGTCAGTCTCAAATGTTTTATTTGACCTTGACCTCATTTTCACGGTTCATTTCTCAGTGTTGAGTTTTTTGTGTTTTGGTCTGTTTTTCTTTAACTATAAGCAATAGATCACCTATATTTGTTAGATGGAAGGATTTTAACGTGTATGTGTCTGTCTGGCATATATCATCTGACCTTGACCTCATTTTCATGGTTCATTAGTCAATTTTTAGTTTTCCTGGTTAAGTTTGTTTCTAAAAAACTTTAAGCAATAAGTTAGCTATATTTACAACTTACAATCATTCAATACACTAAATATAGCAAACTTGTGCTCTTGGATTATTCTAGGTCTATTTAATTTCATATTATAGATGAAAAATAAGTGTTTATCATCGTTTTTACCTGTGTAAGAATGATTTTCTGTGGATTGAATCAGTCAATCAAATCTTAATGATTTACCTTTGTTTAACTTTCAATGTTGACATTCTTTTCCTTTAAATAACTTTACACATACAATTCACGTGTTATCCATCTCAAGCTAAGGGGTTAAATTGAAGATCACATGAATATGGATTCAATGAGGTCGAATAATTCACTTGCAAGTGAATAATTTATAATCAATGTATTTTAGCTTATTTTGACAAAATTGAAACATACTGGCTGCTAAAAGCGAAATCTTATTTCACAATTTGCATTTCATTAATGATTGAGCAAACAAAATAATATATTAGATTTTTTATATATCTCGTAGCTAGTGCCCCTTTAAGTCTATGTAATAGTTGTAGTAAAGCTTTCTATTTAGGACTATCAACATAATATCAATGGTAAGTAAAGAAGGCGAGACATTTCAGCGTGTGCACTCTTGTTAGGACAAGTTACAAATCAAGTTCGAATTTTGGTCCAGTATAATGATTTAGTGCATAGTTATGCTCCTATGACTTAAAAAATTTACTCCATTAATCAATTTTCGACTTTTTTTTAATCATCATGCTTGAAGATATTGAATGGATATTTGTTATATAGTCAGGGGCGGATCCAGGATTTTGGAAAGGGGGGGCGTAGTATTAAAGTTCGCCGAACGGAGCGAGGCGAAAAAAATTTTGGACCTCCTTTTTTTGGCAAAAAAACATAAAATAAGTGGAAAATGCATTTTATAGTTAAAGTGTAGGGGTTGGACATTTTTGGTGCCGTATTCTCTCCATTAATTGTCTATTATAAAATGATTGGATGGATCCAAAGCTATGTACTAATTAATATATTTGATGTGGGATTTGTCAGTAAAAAATGGACATGGAAAATTCTCGTTTGTTGTATGGTTAGTTAGCATAACCTCATAGATTTCTTGTTGTAAACAAGATATACGGCTATTCAATGAAATTTCATATACGACCGACACGAAGAAAGAAAAACAGGCAATTTTTATCCAAATGTTTGGTTGAAATGTTTCAACCAACAAGGGAAGTGAGGGGTTCCAAATCAACCAAAGGCTACGAATGAGTCGGAAATGACAATGAAGTTGTGAATGACGGTCGACACATGGAGACATATAGGCCACACCCAGCAGGCAGGTTGCAGTCGGGCCTTGAAAAAAGTATTCAGTATATCAGTTCGGCGAAACAGACATTCCGGTCAGATATGGGATTCACATGCAACCCCCCCCCCCCCCCCCCCCCAAAAAAAAAAAATTACGCCCGTTTTTTATTCATCATGTTTATTTAATGCTAAATAATTTTGTTGAAAATATTTTTTTCTAATAGCAAGAAAGTGGACAAGATTAGTGTTTTCAATCCAGATACGGCCAGAATTTTGTTTAAGGCAAAAATCAGGGTCAGAAATCTATATCTAGAGCTTTTGACTGGGGATCACCATTCAGCAATGTTATTAATGGGCTGGGGCATGTGGGGTTAAACATGTTTTCGTTGGTAAATAATATTGCTGTGGAACTTTTTTTTTCATGAGAGTGTAATAGAGTATTACTTTTTGTTGGGCCCCCCTTTTTTGGGAAAAATTTGGTTGATTATTTAGGGAATCACTGATGCATGACTAAAGCGTGCCCCCTCTTAGGCAGTCAGTGGGCCCCACTTATGAAAATTTCTGGATCCGCCACTGCTAGTCTGATTAATCATTTTACAAAAAAAAAAAAAAAAAGTGCAAGCAAAAGGGGGGGGGGGGCGTACGCCCTCTACGCCCCCCTCTGGATCCGCCACTGATAGTTTACACCATGACAAGGTATAGCACTTTGCTCTTGACAATGATTTTTTAACGGGTAAGGGACTATGTGTTTTCAGGGCGGGCAATACTCACAGAATGC